AAATTTCTTTAAAATAATAAATACAATATCTAGAAAAGCAATATCATCTTTACTATTAGACAAATATTAAAAATATATATGATTATTATAATTACGTTTATAATCAAGGTTGACTAAAATAAAGAAGAGTCTAATTATTTTTTTTATTATTTCAGGATTAGGTATGATTTTTTTTTTGTATAAAATGCATAATAAAAACAAACTTTTTAGTATAGATAAATAGGAAGTTTTTAGTATATGTATATTAATAAAATCTCAAGTTTAAAATAAAAATTTTATATAATTTGAACGAATATGCTTATTAGCAAAATACTAGATTAGAAGTAGTATCTAAAGTGATTAATATAGTATTACTAAAATTAATTAATACAATGATATTCTAAAATATTCCAGAGTATTAACTATATAAGAAAGAATTTTAAGAAATGTAATAAGATATAAATTTAATAGTATTTTAAGTTAGAATAATATATAGAAAAAAATAAGAAATTATAAATTAAGATACTATTATTAATAGATAGAAAAGAGGTTAAAAAGGTAAAAATATAAGAAAAAAGAGTTTAAAATAGTATAATTTGAACTAATTTAGTATTTTATATTTTATTCTTAGCAATTAAACAGGTTATAAAAGACAAAATTGCAGAAATGACATAACATTTACATTTTACATATACCTTACCTAACAATCAAAAAATGAAAAAATTGCAATATATCTTAAGTAAAAAATGGATTACAAATTTAATACTTTGTATCTCATCTAATAATTAAGAAATTAAAAGTGAAAATATATGAATTGCAAATTCAGTACTTTATACCTTAACTTAGCAATCAAATAAGAATATAAAAGTAAGATTATAAGCAATTTTAGCACTAATTTCTAACAATTACATAGAACATTATTAGTATTTCTGATTCTCTAACTATCTGATCTTTCAGTTAAAATTTTAAATAAAGCTCAAAAGTAGAAAAAAAGTGATAGAAAGGTTTTGAAAATGTAGTTGCATATGATTTTTTAGCATAATAAATTACAATAATTTGACTAGCATTATATTCTATAATTTTAGACTAAAATTAACTAAAATAGAATTACATGATTTAATTATGCTATCTAATAATAATGCAATTTTGTAATTAAAACCAGCTAAATATTTTGATCATAAAAGATCACAGAGCAATAAAGACAAATAGATAGCTAGAAAGAAATAAAAAAAGACAGAGCATTAAAAATAATCAGATTGCTACAAATCAATAAAAAAGACATAAAGCAATAAAAATAAATAAATGACTTAGTTATAAAAAGATTGCAAAATATTAAAAATAGTAACTAGGTAATATTATACTCATAACTAGATAATATTATAATGCAACTGGATAATACTCTTATGAAAGTATTATTTAGTTTAAATTAGAATAAATATATTATATTTATAACTTAATTTTCAACTATTATATATTAACAAAAAAAAATTTTTTTTCACAAAGTTTATATTTTATATAATATAAATATTAATCCTTTTTTTTATTAACATTATTTTATTAGAATTTTTTAAATTCTAATAATATCTAATTATTTAAAATTTAATCATAAGATTTATATAATCATTTAATATATCAAATATAAATATATAATATTTTTTTTAATTTTAAAGTATATTAATAATTTAAAAAAAGTAAAGATTTACTTTACTATAAAAAAAAATATTCTTATTATATAATATTTAAAGTTAATAATATTAATAGTACTTTTATAAATCAATTAAAATTTAAATATTTAAATTAATTAATAAGTTAAAGTAAATAAAAAATTTGTAATTATTATATTAAATTAATATAAATACAGTTATAATATAATAAAAATTAAAATTAAAGAAAAATTAAAATTATTAATCTAAAGTATAGTGTAAGAATATTCATATTTAAATACAGTAATATAAGATATCTATTTATTTTCTAATTCTTTATTTGAGTTAATATTTATTAATATGTTTTTATTCTACTATTAATTTATTATGATTACTTTATTATATAAATTTATAGACTGTATTTTTAATTTTAGATTTGCAAACAGTTACTATTACTTAATATAAAGTAATCTATAGATCAAACTTAAGAATTAAATATATTATTCATATAAAAATTTAAAAATTAAATGAATTATTTTATAATTATTATATTAAACCGATAGTTTAATTTAGATAAAATTATATTATAATATAATATATTTTATATTTAATAGAATTACTAATATATACTAAATTTATAAATAAATAAATAATAATTTATATCATTAAATTTTAAAGAAATCTATTAGAAACTATTCAATAATATAATATATATAAAGATATATTATTTTTAAGATAATAATTCTAATATATTAAAAATAATAGTTTAAAATAATGAAATTAAAGTTTTTAATTATTTAATATAATTTTATAACTTAATTTAATATATCACCTTTAAATAAAATAACTATTATTTAAATAATTTAAAATACTTATTAAAATATAGAATTAATTATAAGATATAACTTTTATTAAGAAAATAATAATACAAATTTTATCTCTAAATTTAAAGCAAATTTTAATAAAAAAATAACAATAAAAATCACTTTTAAATTTAAATTTCAAACATAATTTTTATTATGAAAAATTGTATTTATATTTACTTTAAAAGTAACTTTTATTATTGTAGATTAATTGTAAAACTTGTAACTTATAAATAGATATTTTAAAATTCATAATTTTTATTATTATAAAATCTGCAACTTAATTCATAGGTTATAATTAAAAAAAAAAAATGATACAATTAAGTTGTAATTCAATTAAAATTTTGAAAGTAATTAGAGGATTATCTTTATTTACAACTATTAAGTATTAAATATATTATATTAAATTAATTAATAAATATTTTCTACATTTTATATTATTAAAAAAGGTAATTCTTATTATAGATTTTTATATTGAATTTAAAGTTGATAAAAATTTTAATAAATTCTAATTAGTTTGTTTTAAAGTATTTAAAAAGATTTTTCTTTATATATAATTAATTTTAATTTTTTAATAATATGTTGCCTTTTAAATAATTAACACTAATAAATAAATTATAAATAAATTTCTTTAAAAATTAGGAATTTATAAATTGATTTAATTTAGAATTTGATATTTAAGTTTTAAATCCTAAATTTATTATATTAAAAGATATTTATAACTTATTTTATTTAATAATTATTATAAAGGTAATATAAAAAAAAATCTTTTAAATAAATATTTTTTAAAATTAATTAGTATACTTTAAAAGTTTTTTTTTTTTTTTTTTAAAACAACATAGATTCTGTAGATATTTGACTTTTATACTTTTAACTAAATTTTAACTAATTTCACGAATTGTCATTCCTTAAATCATTACTATTTTTGGAATACCAATTTAAATGTATATCCATCTCCATATAGGTATAAACAAGAGAAAGAAATACTTTGTAATTATTTCTTTAACCTCTTCCGTTACAAGTATAGGATGATTGTCCCAACTTATTAACTGATGGTCAAATCCGAATCTGAAAGGTTCGTTTCCGAAATGAAGTTTAATAATTAATAAAAATTACGCGATAATTATTATCAGAAAAAATTTTAATTATCTTCCATTAAAACAAGTCAAAGGCTTCTGATTGTTATGGGATGATCTTTAAAAAAACGGTTCTCTTAATGGCTTCCAAATTCTAAACGTTTAGCAAGGCCTACCCGTGTTACATGTTACATCCTTTATGGGTATTCACAAAAGATCATTAACAACAGAACATAGAGAACATTCGAAAATATTCTTAGTATATATTAGTATTTCGTAAAAAACATTTTAATATTGATTGTGTTTCCTTAATCAAAGTCTTAATGTGTTTGCTACGATGCACAATGTTTAATTTTTTCAAAACTAAGTTGCAAATAATAAAAATCAGCCGACTCAAAAAAATAAAAAACCTTGCCCTTTTATCAAATATTTAACGTGTAAAAAATCAGATACTCGTATATCGTTATGTTCGAATATTATTATTTACTAATCATATCTTTTGTTTTAGAATGATTTATCTAATAATTAATAAATTCAACACCTTTTTTTTTACTAAACCATATTCTAACAACAAACATTTTGAATCAATGCGTGGAACTTTTCTATTTTGGCTAAATTATAATGTGATGCGTAAATAATAAATAATTATAATATTGTTTGTATCCGATTTCATGGATAAAATTTACACCGATTATACTTCATTACTAAACTTTATTTTATTTTTTAAAGAAATCAAATGGATTTCACTCGAAGAGAGCTAAAGTAAGAACATAAAAGATTGTGTCCCTAATGGAATTGATAAATAATTCCAAAAATGAGATAGTTTATATGTCATAATAATAATAATAATAATATATGATTTCGAATAAGGTGGTTCGGAACTTTTATCGTACAAATATGGTTGTGGTATAAATAATGATTTAATTGCCGCTTCCCTATTCATGACAAACTGTGCATCTTGTTACACGAATTTAATGAATTAATTAAAACTCTAAACGTAGTTGGTGATAAAATTTCCACAAAAGTGCTCACGACTCATTTGTTAAGAATAAACTTTTACTAACAATAAAAAATCCTTCAACAAAATAAAAAATTTATTTCATAGGTACTAACTTGTTATTATTATGTAACCAATCGTAATTGATGTGCAACGGACAAACAACAGCTGCATTTATCTACAAAATGTATTCGAGTTCTAACCTTTTAAACAATTTTTTCAATAGTTATTTATATAGTAATAAATTAAAGATATAACAGATCGAATGATTTTTAATTGACAATAAAATAAACTATAGAAAAATAAATGTATTGTATTATGATAATTTTATAATTTTTTTTTTTGTTGCTGGAATTATAATTAAATTTGAATAATAATTCTAAAGCGATCATTTCTAATATTAAATAAATAGTCCCTTTCTATGGAAATTATGTAAATTGCCTTAGATATAAATGATTCCTAACATCATCATTAATCCATATACAATACTTAATAATGCATCATTTTTAATTGAATTTGAACCGTTTGCGCTGATAACCGGAGGTTTCTCGGCTGGAGGTTTCTCGGCTGGAGTTTTACCGTTATTACCTTTTGGAGATTTTCCATTTCCTTCTTGACCTCCAACAGGATTGGATTTAGGAAGTGTGACTTGTTCAACGTATGGTTGTTCATCACCCAAACACACGCTCAAGCTTTGTAAATTGAATTTAGCCTTCATAACAATATCCATGGCTTCTGCTGCTTTCGAAGCAGTTTTGTCATAAAGATCATGTTCTAAAGAAATATGTCCAACTGTAGAAGTTGTATTTTGTACCCAAACTGAAAAATTTCCTGGAATCCAAGCTAAATCATAGGTTGGATCGGACATTGAATGCCAATCAAATGTATCCAAATCCCAAATTGCAATTTTATATCCAAGTTGTGTCAATATCCCACGTACTCTATCATCAAAATCTCCTTGGGGAGGTCTAAACCATTTAGGTGTTAGACCGACGGCCTCTTTGATAGCCTGTTCTGTCCATTTGACTTCTGCAATAATTTGTTCTGTGGATTGAGAGGTGAGTGGTGTGTGCGACCATGTATGTGATCCAATTTGATGCCCTAAAAAAAAAAAAAATACCATATGTATATCAATTATCTGCGACAAAGATTCTCGTGTAACATCCATTTTTGGGTCGGCGTTTTTACATACGCATGCATTCCAACTAAATACGTTTAACATGAAACTTACCCGAGTCAACAATTTTTTTGAGAATTTGGGGATTTTCGTAAACTCTACTTCCAATTACAAAGAATGTTGCCTTAATACCTCTAGCGTCAAGTGCATCGAGTACTGTCAATGAGTTAGCTCTAAAATTTTAAAAATATATATATTTAGCGATTAAATAACGTGTATTTAATACATAAACAAAAACCATCATGTAACTTACGAAGGACCATCGTCATATGTTAGTGCCCAATCTGATAAATCGAAGGAAATCATTAGCATCAAAAATCATCGTTATTTATAAAGTGAATTTTGTTATCTACCTTTCTTATCAGGACAATATTGAACATCGGATTCAGCTCTCAAACAATTTGTGCAAGACCAAACACAATACGTGTCAACAGGATTACATTGTCCAGGAACTCTGAGAGGAGCTTTAATAAGTTTCGATTGATCAACAAGAGCGGTCCAAGTAGCATCAAATGGCGGAGGTTTATCGACTGGAGGATACTTTCCTTTAAGTTGCGCTTCAACGTTTAGTATAGAAGTAGATAGTGCTAGCAATATTGATATTGCCGAGATAACTTTATTCGTATACATTGTAGATAAAAAAATCTTTACTTCAAATTTTAACAAATTAATAGTGTTTTTCAACAAAAATAATATTTGGATTTTCGTCCTTATTTTTTTTTATAACCTGGTCAACAGAATATCTTTGAAAAAAAAAGGGGAAATTCCAAAATGAAAAATGCTTTGTCAAATGACCGAGGGTCAGTGAAAAAAAAAAAAAAAATATTAACGACTTGATGTCTTTATATAGGTTTTTTCAAGAATTGCACGAAATGTATTGAATGATTACTCAACCATAAATAAATAAAAAAAAAAGAGGATGTATTGTTTTATTGATTATTTATGGTATATGATGTACTTTATAATTAATTGTCAATAAATCGATGTGTACTTAAATGTGTATTAATGTGAAACGAATTAAAAGTCACACAATAATCCCCCTACAAATAAATTTATGGACAAAGATTTTACAAATCTAAGCCAATTTCCTAAAGGATCCCCTTTTAAGTGAATCTCCTTTCAAAAAAGTGTATGGGGAAGAAATATAGAGTAGTTACTCAATCCACTTGTAATTCCTGAATGCCTTTTATACCAATAAAAAATTGTTTGCTGATATGCAAAGCTTTTAAAAATTTTTTTTTTTTTTGATAAGATCGTGCTATATCTGACACAGATAAAATTGTTCAGTTTATTTTTCACATGGTGTATTTCCCACTAAAGTTATCGTTATCCAAGAAATTTAAATATTTTTATCACTCACACACAACATATTCAATTTCTTTATTTAGAACATAATAATTAATTTTTCCCAGCAAGAAAAAAAGTAATTGTTACTGTGTTTTACACGATTGATTGTCTTTTTCCCTCAATGAAAAGTTCCTTGTAAGAGAATGTTTTACCAATCATTATTTGGATTTGACGGTTGATTTCCACAATTACGATCTCGCCTTATATATAAGAATATGAAAAGTGACAAAATTGAAACACGTTAGAAATGTGATGGTTACTCGGTTTCATTCTCTTCACGGATGTTACAAAAAAAGGAGCCTTTGTCAATTTGGGAGTGTTTCTAGAATTCTAGTTGATTATTTTTATTATTATTTTTTTTTTTTGACGTACCAATGTAATCAAGGGCATATTGTATGTTCTATAATTACATCATGTTGTATAAGGAAATCCAAAATTAGATTTTTTCGAAAGAACTTTTTTTTTATTTTTATTAATTAAATAACTCCTTTCTACGCCCAGTGACGACAACTTTCGGTATAAGGTTAGATTAATATATTAGGTTTTGTATGGTTGTGTCAAAGGTAAAATTAGGGAAGAAATGATTCTAAAAGGCAAAGCTCCATAAAAATAAAGCGGCGCAAAAAATTTTTTTAACCTACCTAAATAAGGATTTAAGAATGTATCGACGTTGAATTTTTCTTTTTTTACAGGTTACCTTTTAAAATTAAAGAATGGTAACCCTTGGCAAAGTGTCATCAAAATTTGTACAATTGGTTCGTTCTATATTTGGATGACTCAATTCTAAAAAGAATAACTGTTAATCGTTTCTATTTAAATAATCAACCGAGAAAAACTCCAACTGTTGGCCTAAATTAGTATTTAAACCGGTTTATAACTTAATACTGCTATCATAAACTAAAAAGTTACTTTAAAAAACCTCTATTTTTAATTTAAGTAAATCAATTCATTTACATTGTTTATAAAATATAAACTATTTTTATGATTTAATTATAAAGAATTTGCATAATATTTTTAAAATATTATTCTTTTACAATTTTATATTTAATATAAAATATAATATTTATTATATAATTAATTATTACAATTATTATATA